TCACCACCCTTGGGAATTGGTCGCACTATCGAGCATTTACAGTGCTCGAGGACAGATCCTTCAGAGAGTGGTTTATTGAATATGTTTGTCACGGCTGGTGCGATGATAATCGATAGGGTTTTGAGTATTATCGGGTGCAGTCCGTCTGGTTAGGGGGGCATTGAACCATCGAGGTTGACGAGTAGACAGCACAGTTTGACCGCATCACATTGTAGTCTGACAAGCAAGACTGGCACCATCTGTGTCGGTACTGGAACGGCCGCCGGTTTACTGGAATATACAGTGGGGAAGTGCGTAGCCAAGCCTCCGCGCGCTACGCGCTTGAAATGGGCATCTATCGGTCCAAGCTCTCTAAGACCGGTAGGTCGTCCATAGGTTTCAGTTGACGTTCAAATAGGCAAATATGCTTTTGGGTACAGTTTTGGTAGAGGATGCTAGCTCCTGTTCGAACTGCCGGCGTTTCTTGATCATTGCGGCGTTGCATAAGTTACGTGGTTTCTTGTAAACCGTGTAATCTTCATCACAACCCGAGCTGATGTATCTATCCCAAAGTTTGCGACACCGTCGCGCTAACTGTCTATATTCCGTATCAAACCAATGCGGTTTGACAGGTCTAATTTTTGAATACTTCAGGGGAGCGAACCGAGTACACAGCAAGTTAAGCTTCCCTTTCATTATTGGCCAACAGGCCTCAAGCGACACATCCCGTGGTGGTGTCCAATCCGATTGACTTGCGGCTTGAAGTCCGTCTTTCAATATTTGAATGTCGGCTTCCGTTGGTGTCAACACTGTAACGGCAGTTCTATGCTTGCCACGATGGAGCAGTGGTCACTGTTCGTCAAAGGTTCGAGGACTCTGATCTCGTTCAGCTTCTGCTCGCAGGTCGTATAGGTCCAGATATGATGCCCAGTGCGGAGTTACGCACGTCGGTTGTATGACATGTTGTGTTGCCTTTTTTCAATAGCCATTGTAGCGAATTGAGCCATAAAGTTGCCATGACCGTGAAGAAGCCGAACGTCTGGCCAGAATACCTTAGTTACATTTAGATCCCCATCAGTAAGAAATGAGGGCGGTTCATGTGCTTTTGCACATGTGGTAGCCAATCGCAACGACAGTTTAATGGGCTACGCTAGATAATGCTCACTATTAGTTCTGCGCGTCTGAGGCAGATTGTGCACCACAATTGCTCGGATAAGTTATCCTCGCTCCGACAGGCGCTGATAAGTTTGCCAGATAGTGACGAGTTGATGTACAAAAGAACAGCAGCGTGAGCTTTGCATTTCGGTCGCATCGGCAACAAGACTATTTTGACAACGCGACTAATTTTGGTATGACGTCGGAGTTCAGCCAAGTCTCTTCAAGTCCTAAAACGTTCGGCCTCTCCGAGAGAGCGAAGTGGCACACTTCCTCATCTTTGTTCAGTAGGCTGCACACGTCGGCGAATGCCACACGGAGGTCCTCGGGGGTTCCGCGGGACTTGCCTGGAGGTTGGGCAATCGCTTGATACGGGTTCGTACATCCGACTTGAAGAAGGATTTTGGCGTTTTAATAACTTTGTCTCAATCAACCGACAGTTCAGCGGACCCCTGCTGGGTTCCTCCCATATGACTTCAGTATGACAGCAGCTTGTTCCACTTCGCCGTGGGTGACAGCCGCAGACCAGCGTGCTTGACAGCTGACTATGATATGGCCCGGCTCATCTTCCACTGCCATGCCAGTTAGGAACTGTGCAGAGGAAAGTGGAACAATGGAACAAGGGAACAATGGATTTATGCGGGTATAAAAGCTAAAGCTTGACAAATCCCGTAGGGTGATCAGTGCGAAAATCATAGAAGTGTGAAAAATTCGATGGAAACCAAATTCAGTAAAATCGTTTAACAACGAGTCACTACAAGCTTGTGGACTCACCGAGTTTGAAGTGTCAAAATAATAATCCACTATAACTCCGGAGGGGATCATGAGGTATGGAGAGTATTTGGTTAAAAGAGTCACCGCCCCATGAAATTCGCATGGGGCAAAGTGTTTGAGTATGAAGCGTCAAAATATAAATCCACTGTTGAGATTTGCGTGGGGGAAAATTATTTTTAAAGTATGGATTTTGGATCTCTCAAAATTAGACTGTACTATGGGAGATAGTGCAATGAAGTGAGTGCACTATCAACTCGATTTTTGAACTCGATCAGGTTGGGTGCACTGACTACAGATTCTGGGAGAGCATTCCAAGCTTGGCAAACACGCACGGAAAAGAAATTCCGTCGACATTCCAAACGGCTGTACTGCACTGCCAGCTTCAGATTGTTGTTGTTACTGAGCTCCAGCAGATTGCGGCAGGTATGATTGGGGTCTGTCAGAATCTGATAAGCCAAAATCAAACCTCCCCGTAGTCGTCAATATTGACCACTAAATATCCCGAGCAATCTCATTCTGTCTTCGTAGCGTAACCGGCCTAAACCTTTCACGTTCTTCGTTGCGCGTCGTTGAGGTTTCTCTAAATCAGAGAGGTCTTTCCTCAGCCACGGCTGCCAGACTTGTGTTGCATACTCCACGTGTGGTCGTATGTATGCACCTAGAAGTTGGTGAAAAACGGATGGATCGACGCGTCCAAATGTGCGCCTGAGAAGGCCCAAATTTCGAATGCTCGCGTTCGATGCTTTCTTTGCCTGGGCTGAACAACCAAGGTCGGACTGAATCAAGACTCCCAAATCCTTTTCCTCAGCAGTTGTGTGAAGCACATGGTAACCCAGTTTATAGAAAAATGCTGATTGGTTACGTAAGTGTAATACTCTGCACTTTTCTATGTTGAGTGGGAGTTGGTTCTGAACTGACCACGCATACACCTTATCCAGATCCTCTTGAAGTATAGCGGAGTCGTCTGGTGTATTGATCGCTCTCCAGACGTTGATGTCGTCGGCATAGAGTAGGCAGTTGGAAAGAATGAGGGCCGCTATGTCGTCAATATACATCAAAAATAATCGTGGCCCCAGTACCGATCCTTGTGGTACGCCACATTCGACTTGGATTGGGTGGGACAGGGACCTACGCACTTTTGCCTCTAAGCTCCGGTGGAGAAGAAAGCTTGTGATCCATCCTAGGAGCGGATCACCAATGCCGAAGCTCTGAACTTTGCAGATCAGGATTCCATGGTCTAGTCGATCGAAGGCCTTTGATAAATCTAGGTAGACCACGTCCACTCCTGCACCGCTGTCAATTAATTTGGTCCAACTCGATCTTGCTAGCAGCAGATTTGTGGTGCACGATCGATTCCGTCGAAAACCATGCTGTTCATGTGCAAGGAAGGCAGACTCTTCTAGATAGGCTGTTAATACGTCAGCAACAATAGCTTCCATAACATTTGACAGGACCGGGAGAAGGGTTACAGGACGGTAGTTGGCTGGATCAGAACGGCTACCGCCCTTATGAATTGGGGTTATGATCCCACATTTCCACATCTCGGGTACATACATCTGATCGAAGCAGCGTTGGAAGAATCGTGCCAGAGGCTCTGCTAAACTTTCTCCCATTACCGCAAGGGACTTAGGGTGAATGTTGTCGATTCCAGGAGAGTTGTGCTTACGCATACACAACAACTTCTTTAATACCATCCCCGCCGGGAAAGTTATGTGCGTAAGTTTTGGTTGTAAAACAGCTGCTGACAAAGGAACAGATGACCAAGGAATGCATTGAAAGTTTGAAGCATATTGCAGCCGCAAGGCGTTCGCCGCATCCTCCGTACTCCGCGTCATGCCCTCTGGCGTTTGAAGAGGAGGAATTCCCCGTTTCACCTTACCCAGGTTGTTTATGTGTTGGTAGAGCAGCTTATGATTCGAAACCATGCGCTCCGTCAGATGCTGCTGGTATGTCAGTTTATCCTCACGAACGAGTTGAGCGCAATGATTACGTTGAATTGCACAGGTCGTCCAGCTCTCTGTGTTCGGGTGTTCCTTATAGATCCGCCAGGCCGAGTTCCACACTGCCATACATTTCCGTGTCCTACTTCGCACAAATGAAACAGTCTTCTTCGAGTGGACAACCTTAGTTTCGGATGCCTCTTCGACGAGAGTGCTAAATTGGTTGACGAAATGTGGCCATGCGATTGTCGGTACTTCGTCTGTCAGAAAGTTCCAGTGGGCTGTCTCTGCAAGTCGAGCCAGCTCATCGTACCGTATGATAACTCGGCTTTCCCGTGTAGTATCCGCAGGGTATTTTGCGTAGCATATATAATCGAAGAGTAAAATTGCATGATCGCTGCAACCCAATGTACCAACTAGGACTTAGAATCTATACGGACAGATTTTACAATACTAATGAGTATAACTTTTGAGTGGAAGAATTTTGGCGAGTTTTATTGATTTCGTCGCAATCAGCCGACAATTCAGATAATTCAACTACCAAATCGGATCTTTTGTTCAACGTATACAGGGATGAGTGATATGAATGAAAGTTGTTGGTATTCACTAACGCTGCTCATCTTCCGCAATGGTAGAAATACGTCCATTGTCAAATTCTGTATTTTGTTTCAGTCAAATATATCTTGCTTACTCTAGCTCTGTTCCACTAAAAAACACTTTATACTTTCCACCTGTTGCTGAAACATTGATAGTACTATGTTTCCCTTCAGAACAATATTTGTGCTGTGATACCGTTGGGCATGAACTCACTGAATGCTCTTTAATCAGGAATTTGAAATACATATACCCTTTGAAGGATTATACGCACCATATTTATCGGAAACACGTTATCATCTTGTTAGTAAACTGACTATTGTGAGTTGCCAACTCTGGTGTCAACTATGGTTTGCCATGTCCGGGTTCACATCCGGTAATGCTCTAAGGAACACTTTACATAACGGGTTTGTTTGTGTTCTCGTAGTTTCTAAAATGGCTGTAAACTGCATGAGTTGAATGCCGATATGTGTTGATAGGAGACAAAGTTTAAACATATTTGAAATACAACGAGTAATTACATTCCCCGTATTTTTCTACACTAAATGTTGGACTTAGGTTTTGAAGGTGAGCTGTGCTCAAACAAAATCTCCCGGGCTTCCTCCTCACCCCCAAGTGTCATGAAAGATCAGGTAGCACCATCGATTGATCGCTGTGACTTGATTGGGTGTCCCAAAGAGTTGTCCAGTGACGGCCAATGTGATCCTGTATGCCTAGCGAACGAGTGCGGTGGATCGGGTGAATCAGTCGACTGTATGGCTTGGATACCATGTTGGGAAAACACTGGGATCGATGAACAACGCATGAAGCAGCTGTGTGTGACGAAATTTCATGATGGACGGTGTGATAATGAGTGCAATATGGAGGAATGTCATTTTGATGGCTTCGATTGTGCTTCTGGAAAACAGTAAGCAGTTGTTCTATTTTGACTATGTTCCCATTAACCCGAAATATCCACTTTTCCCTGTTGATGCCAAAAATCTAACAGAAATGGTTGAACAGTTGTCGACCCATTTCTACACCATGATTCACACTGTGGTGGCTTAATTTCTGTTGCATGTAGAAGTGCGATTAAACTGCATCAGTAGAAATGGCGTTCGGAAGCAGAGCAAATGCCGAAGCGCATAGTCTGGATGTAGATAAAACCCAACCTTTACGACGACATAGTTACTTCCTCTATGAATAATTTTATGTTGAAATCTGTGCTGACATACGATCCGCTAATTGCTCATAAGTTTCTTCCGACCAGCACTAAACGATCATCTGGTTCACTGAGGGGGAATTTTCCATCAATGCGATCGCTGAGTACCAGAGAGTCATTTCAAATATTTGGGAAAACATACTACTGGGTCGTATTTATTAGTTATTTTAGCAAACACCATTAAAAACTTATTTTAAAGACATCTAAGTTGCCACTTTTGACTCGCAGCATAGTCAGCCAGCGATGTCTTCTAAAGACTGAATTTATTTGCATTCAGACAGTACTGATCATCCCTGTCTTGGAAGGGTAGCTTTAGATTTAACGAAACAATATACACAACTTTTCCTTTAACCGCAAGGCATAAGTTTAAGCACAGAATCTTTAGCGCATTGCGTTTTGTCTTAATTGTGATCGTTCCAACTTTAATTTCACCTCATTGGTTTCGATAAGTTAGAGTCTGCGCACATATCTGCCAGTACCACAACCTGGGTGCTTGCATGCATTTGCACACATAAATATGCATCAACCTCTATCCGGTAAAAAGAACAACGGATAGACAAAATATCTTTAAACTATAGTTCGTTTAAACAGTTAGTAGGCGTGCATTCGACAAGGCTTTTGCGGTGTTTTGTCTAGAACTTCAAGTGTTTAGTAAAAACATTGGAACTGCGATGAAGTTTTCTTGTGTCCGCCTTTTGAGACAACATAATTTGTCGGAGAGGTTGGAAGCAAGAAGTTCTCACGTTTTCGCTCAAGTGTGTTTGTGTTTAAAGTTCCGCAAAGTCTGTTTCTTCCGCCTTTTAAGAATCAAAAAAACTTCGTTAACAAAATAGCGATCTTGCTGCTGATTTAATCCATACGTGGATATTACGGGAAACAAAAGGATAGTGACAGGTTTAATGTACCTCGGATTCATGTCAACCTCAGCCGTCAAAATGTTCTACGATTGTGTGCTTTTGGGATTTTTATTAAAATGCATGATAAGCTTGGCTTGCACTTGGCATGTGCGTAACATTCCAATCACTTGAGTGAGTTGCTTTCTAAAGTTTGGCGCGGTTTGAAATTGGGCCACGTTCAGCGTTTACTTTATTCCTTAAGAAGGATTCGTACATTTGAGAAGACAGTCCTAGTTTAGCTGGAGTAATCCGATTGCTACTTCTGAGGATCCTAGACATACCCGTGGGCATTTAAACGATTTTCCTGCTAAAGCTGATCAAATAATAGGAAAAGTTTGAACTGACTTTGGCAATGCCCATGAACACCCCATCTGTAATTACATGGCGTTATAAGGAGGCAACCCATTCCCGAAGACCACCATTGCTTGTGGATGGGTATGAACGAGTCTGCTTGCCTTTCGCTACTAGCATTTATTGCAACCCAGGATTCATACAAGCTGCATGCATGGCTTTTCCTGCTGTTGCTGAAGAAGAGTAGTCTCCACTATTCGTTTAACCGGTATTTTGCAGTATAGAACTGGGACAGCATCATTTGTAAGTAAATATAATCTCCGCGAATTTACTGGTTGAACCATGCCTTCAAACCATGGCAACCTACTACACACTTCGAACCTCAGCGAATGAGTCATACTGATCGCAACACTGTTTTCCTATGAGATAATTTAACTGCATCCTCTGGTTGCGGATGAGGAGTGCGGTAGCCGCGATAGCACTTGCAGGGCAACGGAAATCAAGGACGGCGCCAAATCAGAGTAGCATGAGCCAATGTTGTCAATATGCTCTCAGATATTTAAAAAATAACTCGAGTCAAATAGGCTACCATGGGTGGCATACATGTCTTCACGTGTCTGACTTGGCTATCTTGGTTTGGATGCAGTTCTTTTCTACAAATCGAAATGTTTCCAACCGAAATCATCTTCTCTAACATGTGTCCACTGCAACCCATAAGAGGCAACGTTTAAGTAAACTTCCTTGAATCTGTTCCACTACTTACTAGCAACTCAAGGCGAAAATACGCTGGTAGCTTTGCTAGTATGCCGCACTCTCACCGTCGTCAACAAACAGCAACTGTCCTCAGCACCCTCGCGGCTACTAGGAATTAGAACTGGTCTAGTCTTTAGGCTGTTGTTGCTGTAACTTCGTACAGCTCATTGCAGAAAGTGGTCATTGAGTTGGTGGCCATAATTCACAAGGCACTTTCTTACAAATGGATTTTCCTAGCATTATATGCATCAAATTAGGTAACTAAATGTATTAACGGGTCATTTTATGCTGATCGATACGTAATGTGCATGTCCTACCCATAAGCGAATGCGTTGCTACCTTTTGGAATAACATTTTATGTACGGCGCCTTAGCTTTAGATAGTGGGAGTGCTATGGAAGGTGCTACAACTTTTCCGGCAGAAACATCAAACCTAAGCCCGATCAGTCTTCACAATGCTGTGTGGATTCACGGCGCTCGCAAAGGAAGTCCTGACCCGGACGGTCAACCACTGTCCTCTGCTCGGGCAGGAACCTGCATGGCGGTGAAGGATAGGTCGTGCCATATCACAACTATTCTTCAATCTGTAATGGTCGGCTATCGTCCCCCATAGCTCAGTAGCATAAGCTTTTTGGTAGTGGTGCAAGCCACTAGCGGTAATGGGTTCGATGCGCACAGGCGACCGAGAGAATGCGCACCACTGACGAGTAGTGCTAGGACAAAACGATGGTCGGTTGCTTTTCTTGTTCGGTAGCTTACCTATGCTGCCTGGATTCTTATTGCGATGAACCATATCAAATCATAAGCAAATCCGTCAACTCATTAGAATCAGCCTTGTCATTAGTTTATGCCGATGTAATACTTTTCAAGGTTGTTTGCGTAGCCCCTGTGACAAGGATGGAGCTCACTGGCTTCAATCATCTGGTGGTTGGGCTACGGCAGCTTTGATGCGATGGTATGCATATTCGAGTATAGTATCTGTGAAGACTGAGTACCTTAAAACCGTTGTTCTTTAGGCTTTTGATTAGTTAAGGCAGTCCACGGGATGGCCACAGGGCTGCATTAGTCTGTGAATTAAGGAGATCAATATAACTGTTGCATAGTTAGCATGTGGTGGAAAGTAACGACTCGTCAGACGCAAAGTTTGTGATTTCGGAACAACAATTCTCTGTGTCTTACATAGGAAAAGACACAACTGTTTTTATTTAAAATTGCGTTGAACGCCCAACGGTATTCGTGAATCCACCTAGTTCGAATGGGGCTGTGTGAGTCACTGCGTTTTGGAGCGCGCGTTACCACTAATATCGAGCAATGTGGTATCACACTAAAACTATTAGTGTTATTATATACTGTACTACTTACAAGTGAACGAGTAGACAATAATCACATGTTGTTCAGCAACCCAGGTCACGGCAGAAACACGTTTCTGACCATCTCTTTAGTATACTTACTAACAAATGATCTACAAATGATTGCTCTAACAACAAGATAGGTGAGCATATTAGTGGACCAATCAAAGCCCAATTCACTCAACGTTATAAATGTATTATGGATTATCGCATTAAAATATCTCATTTAGTGCAACGGACAGTGTAATCCAACACAAGATCCCCATCGTTCTACCGATCGCACAGTTAATCCCAGAAGTCTGGTCCATTTTACTCTGTTACTCGGGGACCAAGAGTCATGTTTTCGGGTGCGAGGAGAGCGCACCATATTGCCAACTCTGCAATAGTAGATGTTGGTCTATCTCAATGTTTCTCACCCGGTCACGTGGGTGTGAACGACGGCTATGCATGCATCTGGGTGCTGGTGTACTTGCCAGTCTCGTCCATCGTGAAAACGCTGGATGGGCGCGGATGGTTAAGTTAAAGTCAACTACGGCACGCCACAGGGCAAGTTCACTGATCGATACATACTGTGCTTCGGGCTGGTTGGAACGAATGAAGGCTTGCAAAAGCAAGAGAGCAGCGCATCATTACCACGCTACTGCGGTAGAATTGCGGTGGTGCTTGGACAGGCCTAACTGGCCTGAGCAAGGAGTGCTCAGTAGGTGTTTGGTGTTATCCCACGTAACGACAAATGGGTTATGGGCAACACTCTTGTAGACTAAAAGTCAGCTTCCAAGAACCCACCAGAGCAAAATAAGCATTCCTTACAACTAAGCCTTGCAAATATGAAATGCAACGTCTTGTGAAATGTGTCTTGAAAAGTTATAACGCCTAAAGACTACTTACTGCCGCATAGCCTATTCTCTCGTCACAGTCTTGAGCGTTCATTGCAACCTATTCACTGATGAGACAATATTCCATTAGTATGGAACTGAGAAGCTGCATTTCTATGCAAAATGTAATCCTCGCGGATACTTAGCTTCAAGTGTTCCACAAAGTGCGAAGCCCATTGGTTTGCAGAACTGATTGACAAATCGTCGGACCACAGCACATGCATGTGTGTTTTCACGCATACTGTCCACCACAGGCTAGTTATCCCTGTGGTAACTTTTCTGACACATAATGCCGCAAACTCCGATTCTCAACTTCAAAAAAATCGATAAGCCATGCTTTCACCGTCTGTATTCTTATTGAAAAATTGTTGGACCATCTTTCTTTTCCCTCCATGTGATCGGTTGGTGCTTGTTTAGAAGAGCTTATCCCACTCCAGAGTCTGCTCGCCAATGAACATAAGATAATTGCGAAACCGCGTTATCTATTCTCACGTCACCATCTCGTTCACATCCTCCCAGTATTCCTTAGGCATAACCATGAAAATCCAGTAATGGCATTGTGAACAAGTTGCATAGGAGTGATCAGTCTAAGCGCTGTCGAATCAGATCTGTTCCTTGAATGCATTCTGGCCTAACGCAAATTTGGCACCATTTGCCCGCGCACCAATTTCGTCCAGAAATCACTGATAACGCTGAATAAATATATATTCTGCCCCGACGAAGTATTGGCACCATTACTAATCACAACGACGTAGTAGTGAAAGCAGTCGCTACGCAATATACATATATTTCCATGAAGTACATTTCAAGAGCGAAAAGCTCAACGAAATAGATGTTCAAAATGACCGCCATCGTTTCGCTTACTGAGCAGTATTATTTCGATGCTATTGGCTAGCACTTTATGTGAAATGTCCACGGACATCCTGCCATCTTGACGATGCTTAGTTTCAGATCCTTCGGCCTGCAGATTCATCATCTCGAAACTCGTTATCCGCTATCGTCATATCTCAGCTACCTGGCGGGATTCATGAACCATCGGCCCTTGAGATTCGAGTCAGCGTTAAAAAGCTAGGCTGTGTTGGTCGTATAACAGCCACCGAAAGCAAGTAACAATCTGTGGTCTAGGGAAAGTTGGATTGCGGTTTTTGCCTTGTGCAGAGAAAAGTATTGATCTAACAGTGTCTCGAAAACCCTTGTTGAGGCATCAGCCTCAGATGGTATTATAGCTTGAGCAATTACTGATTTTTAGAAACTAGTAAATGTGGGAGCGTGATTAACGCAGTGGGGTTGGTACGTCACGCAACACCACAGCTAGTTGTTTGTTTACGGTTTTCTCTGCCAATCTCCCGGGACCAATGATACCAAACCCAGACTCGGAATCGATAGGTTGCCGGTGCTTGTCCCTCATCGATCAGGCCGCAAGCGCACTGCTGATTAGTCCCTAAAGGCAGGAGCAGACATCCAATGTTATTTCTGATGTGCTTTAATCATCCGACGGAGATATCCTTCGATTACATCATTTGAATTAATGAAGTTTCTAATGTACATAAGAAAGCTTCTCTCTACTTATGAAACCAATGTATCCATTTCAGTACAACTTGTCAAAACATGAGCTTCTGCAAAGAACACTATGGGGACGGCATTTGTGACACCATGTGTTCCGGACCGGACTGTGGATTTGACGGAGGTGACTGTAATGTACAGGCGAAATCGACGCTACCTCCAACAATCGCACATTATTCAAAGCCATCGGGGTACAGCTCAAATCTTTATGTGATCTTACTCAACAGCACACCAAAAGAGTTCTCCTCTCATCGACGGGAATTTCTGGCTATCATTGGGACGGCGCTGCAGGCTGAAGTGAAAATATGGTATGACAGGTTGACAGGTTCCGAAATGTTGATGGAACTGCCACGAAACGACGGAATGAAGGTGAGAAAATATGGTTCTTCTGTCCATTTGTCACTGCGCGAGAAATGGCCAACTACAGACAGTCCAACGGGCTACTGTTTCCTCATCGCTAATTTGGAGTGTCAACTGTGACGCATTCTGACGTCATAGGACTTCTTATCTGCTAGATGGTTTTGTTCAACAGGTACCACTTAATAAATTATGACAGACGTCCTGGTGGCCTGGATGCCGTGAGCTATGTGGGGTTTTTGCGTTATCGCGAACAAAGACCTTCAAGTAGGTGGCATTCGCCTTCAATCTTGTGTAGAATGTGGCCTCAATACTTGGTGTGATTGAACATAACAAATAGAATAGTCAGCAACAACGAGTAAACATTTACCAAGAAGCAATCATTGTCAAACACTGGGCACCGGTTGCGAATCCCCCTTGGAATTACATTCACAAGCAATTCACTCCATTTGGGTGGACACATTAGCGGTAAACATGCAGTTATCTGTAATAAGCAATCCCATGGCTTTCAAATGAAAACAGGTGACATTCCATCGCTCAATTAAATATCACTGTGTTCACGCCACGCTGTTTGCGCGGCAAGTCCGGTGACTTTAGATGCATACCATTTTGGGAGAGTACTCCTCCATTAGAGGAAAGATTTATTGAACAATGAACAATGAACAATGATTTATAACGGGTAAAAAAGCAGGTGCTTGACATGTCCCGTAGGGTGTTTAGCGTGACAAAAAAGATAGAGCAAGGGATAATGGAGTCGTCAGTTTGGGCGATTACAGATGTAACTGCACTGTCGTATAAAGGGAGTTTGAAATGAGAATGTACGCACACCAATCAATAAGGAGAGTGGTTATTGATCACATAATAGGCGAGAAAAAATAAAAAAGATAGCAAGGACAACGCTTACTCGTGTGCAACTAACTTGGGTCGACAGGATACAGAAATCCAGTTTCTATAGTAGTAGCGTTTATCAAATTTCGTGCAAGGCATTTGGAGTGACTCATTCCCGAGTAGGGTTATGACACTGTCCACTGTCTGTTGTGTATTAATGCCAACATTTGGTGGTCATGGGCTATAGCACGAAGTGTAAATGTGACAGGGTATCGTCAACGGCTTTTTTGAAAAGGGATATGGTGGGTGCATTAATTAAATGTTCCTGGAAGGCGTTCCAAGACTGACACTCGATGGGAGAAATAGTTTCGCCGACATTCCAGGCGGCTGTACTGCGTGACTAACTTAAACTGGTGACCTCTTAGCGGGGTGTTTTGACTGAGTTTAGAAGGGAATGGCATGGGTGGTTGGGGTTTCTCAGGAGCAGGTACACCATTATGAGATTGCCCCTTAGACGCCGATAAGATCCACCGTATATTTTGAGGGTCTTCAGCCTGAGTGGGTAGGGGATGCTGGTCAAACCTCTGATGCTGTTCGTTGCCCTACGTTGTGCAGTATCGAGCGCGTTGGTATGTTGCTGGAGCCGGGGTTGCCACGCTTGAATAGCACATTCCGCGTACGGCCTCATGTACGCACTAAGCATTTTTGGAAAGACTGAATGGTCAAACTTCCCGAAGGCTCTGCGAAGAAGGCCGAGGTACTGGTTTACTTCCTTAGCTGCCTTTTCAGTCTGCCTCAAACAACCGAGGTCGTCTTCAACTATTACGCCGAGATCGCACTCGTGAGAAGCCCGCTGTAGAATACTGATCCTAGGCGTTGCGTGTGCATGCTCTTGTGCCGTATGCTGAGAACTACATGCTTGATGACGTTGAAATGCAGCATCTCCTCGATGGACCATGTGTACGCTTTGTCCACGTCTTCCTGTAACGCTGTGTGATCCTCCGCTGCAGCTATAGTACGCCATACCTTTAGGTCATCAGCAAATAGCAAACAGTTAGAAGATAACACGCTCGCCTGATCAGTTATGAAAACCAGGAACAGGCGGGGTCCAAGTACAGAGCCTTGAGGTACGCCGCACTGAACTTCGATGGATTCCGACAGGTTGCTTCTAACCCTCACATTCAGGTGACGTTGCACGAGAAAGTCTCCTCTCCAGCCCAGAACAGGATCGCCGATTCCATATTTCTGGAGTTTGTGGAGGAGAATGCGATGGTCTATACGGTCGAATGCGTTTGAGAAATCCAAGTAGGCCGCGTCGACTCCTACACCAGCGTCCAGGTGAAAGTACCAATAATTAACGACTCGCCTAGAATGAACGTGAGTGAGCACTGGTGGACTCGCCGGGATATTCGCCAAAAATAATTATGGTACACCACCAATGATTTTAGTGCAATTTGGCAAGTGGCAGTTGATTCACACCCTTCAACTGCTTTGTGCAAGAGGACGGCATGCTGCTTACCGGATTTTGGCGCCTCCTACAATCTAAAGCTATGGTAGTAAGACGAGCCATTGTACGCACGCATTTCGTATTGTCTCCTCAGTACCGCTAGCAAAAACCGATATTCTATAATATAGGTAACTGTGTGTGTGACCAAACTAACTGGTGGTGTAACCTGCGTGAAGTGGGCTCAAGTATTTTGTCCATGGCAAGTTACAATTGAGAAGTAGCCATTTTGGAATACACAAAGCTAGATTCATTCGGCTTGTTACGACAGCTTTGGAGAAGCGAAAGAAGGGAGTGATTAGCGTGATACAGCTCAACTTTGGACTCTGAGCCCAGCAATATCCAGTGACCGGAGACCAGGAAGTGTTTGCATTTCCAGGAATCCGGTGGCCTACGCGAGCAAAGATGTCGTGGCGCAGGGAGATTCTACATTATCCCCGAACCCATCCCGGCACATGTTACTTTATTCCGGTAGTCGGAGATCAATCGGTTATGTCTATGAAACCGGCTCCGCAGTCACCCACGAATTGATATATGTTGTGGGCGTTTGGAGGGGTTGCTTCAAGCAGTGGAAGGCGTTCTGCAGTAATTTCTCGAGTAACGCTTATGGACAGTGTGGATTCCTTGTCAACTATTCATGAGGGCTGTCAGGTCATGTAGAAAGGCATGCCTGAATGTCATCCGCGGGAAGCAGGACATTCTAGGTGATCACAACTACAAGTTCTTAGATGAACCCCACGAACTAGCTCAAGCTCCAAGCAGAGCAGAATGCAAGCGCAAAACGAACCAAGTCGGGTGGGAAAGTGTACTCTATGCACACAACCACAACCCACTAGGGGACTGAATTTACGATGTTCAAGGCAAGTTTTCCGATTTTGGAGCTCTGGAGACCGTGAAGCAGGGTACAGTAACCAAAATGGTAAGGGGCTTATAGAAGATGTAGGTGGATGTAAACAGTTGCACTATCTTCAGAAGCCGTTTCCGTTTGCTACCTCGTATAGTCAGCTGATCTACGATGTATGATGAGGCTGTGAGTGTTCACATTTTCCCTGTGATATGCTGTTAAAATTTTCCAAGTAGTTTGTTGAAAACCGATTGTAACCATCCCAAATAACCTAAGACGCGCATAAATTAGGGACGTCAGCTACAGTCTGCAAGCTGTGCGGTACTGCAACATTCAAAAGCCGGAACCATAATGTCCTTCTTTCACATGATTTAACTTTGTAAGTATCATGATAGGCTCCTTTGGCTTTGTAACCACAAGCTTCAGTGTTTGAGGGCAGATGATATCGGCTCCTGGAAAACATTCAGCTTACAACGAATGCAAATCACTTAGAACAATTGCCTTAAATGAGGTGCACTGCCCTGAATTGTTAAGATAGACGGCGGTCTGCAAGCCGGGCAGACCTCAGTTTTGAAGTTTGGAGCGTATTGCAGTTGCAGAACGCTGGCCACTCTATGAATGTTTGTGTTACAAATTTTTCTCGTACAAAATGAGATGTTCTTGATGTTGCGAATTCTATTGCCATGATCAAAGTGTAGCTTGTTGTTGAAATACTTTGGTACATTAGATGCATTGAGTCAAGAAGTCTTCGTAATGTTCGGTATTAGGGCTGGCCTAGTAGGCACCCTATGATAGGTCTCCTACTACCTGTGTTTCCTAGTTCATCTATTTCCCACGTGGTTGTGAACGTATTATTAGGTCTTTCTACTAACTGTCCACGAGGTGTTACCAGAACGGTTATTGGACTGTAAACAAGATGTTTCTGCGAATTCTGTAGGGATAGTGTGCTGCGCGGTTGTACGAACTAGTCTGGTGTGTTTCGTTCATTGTTATGCGCAACACATCTGTACTTAGAAGCTAAGGTCATATGAACATTAATCCCTGAAGAATTTTTTAACAGCGACTTGTCGCTCATGATTTATCCATTTGCGAGCCCAAGGTCCAGTGCGGACGAACTATTTACCAACCTGAACCTCGTGTGACAATGTGACTTGATTGTATAGGGAAATATAAGCGACATCAATGTTTGTCTGGCACGTACTTTTTACTGAAAAGCTGGCCATGTCTCCAGAGCGCATATATAATGTGGTATATTTATGGCTGCGTGTTAGTCATGTCACTACTTTCAAAGCAAACATCAAATGGACATTGAAAAGCAATAAACGATGGAAGCTAGGCAAACACGTTTGCAGGCTAATCGGAGGCCACCCAATAGTGAGTTAAAGACATGCATTTCAGGGTAATCCGCTGCCTGTACTATCCAAAGTGATGAAATCAATCATCGCAGATGCGCTGATGCAGTATCTGGAAAGCCACAACTTAATAGCCCCTGAGCAAAACGGTTTTCGTCAAAAGCATTCATGTAATACTAACACATCAATTGCACGTTAAAGCTGGACTGAAGCTGCTGATGATGGAGTAGGAGTCGATATCATCTACC